AAGATAAACAACGCTCTCTCTGCCCTCATTGCTTCCCCTTTCTCTCTTTCGCTTGAAGACTGAAAAGAGGATGTTCATACTTGTAAAGGAGGGAAAACATTAGAAGCTCTCGTTCTTTCTTTCGTGCCTACACATACATACACATGTGCACGGTCAGTCGGTTTCATTTTGTTTCTCGCTTTCACTTACACTCTCTCTCTGTGTCTCTCTCTCTTTCTTTCTTTCTTTCTTTCTCTCTCTCTCTCTCTCTCTCTCTCTCTCTCTCTCTCTCTCTCTCTCTCTCTCTCTCTCTCTCTCTCTCTCTCTCTCTCTCATACATATACATGTGCACGGTCAGTCGGTTTCATTTTGTTTCTCGCTTTCACTTACACTCTCTCTCTGTCTCCCTCTCTCTTTCTTTCTTTCCTTCTCTCTCTCTCTCTCTCTCTCTCTCTCTCTCTCTCTCTCTCTCTCTCTCTCTCTCTCTCTCTCTCTCTCTCTCTCTCTCTCATACATATACATGTGCACGGTCTCTCGGTTTCATTTTGTTTCTCGCTTTCACTTACACTCTCTCTGTGTCTCTCTCTCTCTTTCTCTTTCTCTTCCTCTCTCTCTCTCTCTGTCTCTCTCTCTCTTCTCTCTTCTCTCTCTCTCTCTCTCTCTCTCTCTCTCTCTCTCTCTCTCTCTCTCTCTCTCTCTCTCTCTCTATCTATCTATCTATCTATCTTTCTATTTATTTTTTCCCTCTCTCTCTCTCTCTCCCTCTCTCTTCTTTCCTCTCTCTTCTCTCCTCTCTCTTCTCCCCTCTCCTTCCCTCTCTCCCTCCCACTCTCTACCCATCTGCCTCTCCCTCCGTACTCACTCTTGTTTCCGTAAGCTTTGTCCTGCTTCTCCCTCTCCTCCTTGAGCTGCCGAGTGAGCTCCTCGTTCCTCTCTCTCTCCCGCTCGAGCTTGTCCTCCACGTCACGCAGACTCGTTAGATCCTCGGAGCTCGGCCTCGCCTTCTTCTTCTCGGACTCCTTGAGGGCGACGTGCAGGCGGGCTGTGGGGGGCGGAGGGGGGGGGGGGCGACGACGATGGGATGGGGAGGTGGGCGGGTGGTGAAGGGGTGGGGGGTGGGTAGGGGGGATAGAAGTTGGAAGATTAGGCGAGACGAATCTAGTGATGGTTCGCGAGTTTTGATTGGCATTGTGTGCGGGGATTGTGTGTGTGTATGTGTGTGTGTGTGTGTGTGTGTGTGTGTGTGTGTGTGTGTGTGTGTGTGTATGTGTGTGTGTGTGTGTGTGTGTGTGTGTGTATACACATATATACACATATATACATATATATATATATATATATATATATATATATATATATATATATATATATATATATATATATATATTATATATATTATATATATATATATATATATATATATATATATATATATATATATATATGTATGTATGTATATGTATGTATATGTGTATATATATATATATATATATATATATATATATATATATATATATATATATATATATATATATATGTATAAATGTATATGTATATGTGTATATATATACATATACACATATATATATATGTGTATGTGAGCATTTGTATCAACGTGTGTGCGTGTCTGTCTACAGCGTTCGCATTAATACTATACCATACCCAAAAGACAGCTCTATAATACACGAAACATAATAGAAATGATTCCAGATCCTAAAAGACCTGACAGACCGACGTCATTGCTTTCCTGCTTCATGCAATTTTCCAAGAGAGAGCTCCTTCAGAAACGTGTTCCCTTTGCCCAATTCAGAGACTACAGAAGAACAAAAGAAAACAACAGAAAAAAAAACAGGCAAAATAACAAGCGAGAGGTCAAGAGTCAAAGGTCACTCGCCACAAAATAGCTATTTCTGAACTGGACATTCCTTGCCGCTGGCGTGTCTGGGTCTGATCTACTTTGGAAAATAATTTTAAAAAATAAAATCAAAGCAAAATAAAGCGTAATGTGTTTTGTTAAGCAATCTTACTACTGAGTTAGTATAGTCTGAATTCGGGTTTTGTTTTCCCTTTATCTATCTGTTTGTCTACTTACTGATTCAATGTTATCATACCGGAAACACATTAAGTCAGGATATTAAAAGAATTTTCAGAATTGTAAAATAAAAAGAGTTAGGCAGCAAATAAAAGTGAAATGAGGAAATTAAATCAGAACATAATATATATAAAATGATAAAATAAAATACTAAACACACCAGCGACGGAAGGAAATGAAGGGAAACCACGAGAATATACAGTAAAGATTTGTTCGTATGGTATTCGTGTGTGTGTAGATAGATAAAAATATATATATAGATAGATAGTTACTGATATTGATTTGAATCTAGATATTAACAGATAAGGATATATACTAAATATATGAAAGGTTGATATGTAAAAAAAACTTCAGTGATAGATGTCAATAAAAACAACATCAAAACACACCCATAACTGAGGAACCATTGAGGAAACACTTCAGATGCATTTTGTAAATGTATCAGGATTAAGACTCCTGGGAACATTATTAAGAAAGCACTTCAAAAGCATTTCATTCACGTATCAAAACAAGGAATGAATAAGGGTGCTGAAGGGAGCAAGGAGACTCCACTGGCCCTGAAATAGCCAGTAAAGCTAGCAGCCATCACATAGACAATAAGGGTTGGCAGCCCTCACATAAGCGGTAAGTTTGGCAGCCTTCACATAACCAATAAGGGTTGGCGGTCCTTACATAGCCAGTAATGTTAGCAACCCTCATATAGACGATAAGGTTGACAGCCATATGTCTTTGGTGGGTTGGAGGCGCACCTTGTTCTCGTCACAAGAGGTGGTCATCGTGCTAAAAGTCACATAGAAAGCCACTTTTTCGAGTGATACAGTATATTGAACGAATGTTAGATACAAAGAACGTGTGTGGTTGTTTTTCAGACCACAGAGGAAACGTTGACAACTCTGCCTTTTCTATATTTTTCGTCTTAATATGATGTATTTCAGTAATGTGAGCATTTCTCGCGATAACGGGTGAAACGATGTTTGTTTTAATCCTACGTGCTTTGTATTTCAGTTAAAGTACCCTTATCCATCTGTAATGTGAAAATCAGTGTAGTTTTGTTGTTCGCAGTACCTGATGTGTTGTTGGCTACGTTATAAAAGAGTTCAGATACAGACAGAATTAAAAACATGTTCTCGTGCAAGTTGGATTTTCTCCCCTGTTGGGTCGGTCAGTTTCCTTAACAAAACGAGACAGATCTATACATTTCTCTCCGCTAAAAAAAGGTGGGAAAAGCAACCATTTTGAAACCCGTGCGTGAACTATGACAGCTGCTCGACATCTGCACATAAGTCTACCACGCCCTGAGGTCACTACGGCAAGCCCCGAGACTAAACAGACTTACCACATTCGCGATTCAGTTCGTCTACCATTTGTCTTAGGGCCGATTTGGGCGTGTATTCCGAGGCCCTCTTATACGCTCTTTCCTCCGAGTTCAGTACCTCAACGACTTTCCGCTCAGTCTCCTTAAAACCTTTCATCTGCTCCTCCATTTTCTCCCTCTCTCCCTCGAGCTCCCTCACTCTACGCCTCTGCTGCCGGGTCTCGGCTTCCTTGGCGTCGGCTTTGTCTTTGAGGAACTTGCAGTGCGCTTTAAGGTTCTCGTTCTCGGCAAAGAGCAGGTGGCACATTTCGCCATCGACGGCGTTATTCGGATCTCTTTTCCCTTGCGTCATTTCCTCTAAGACTTGTTTCTCAATTTCCAAGAACTTAAGTTTCACATTGAGCGTGGCTGTTGGTAGATAAGATAGGCAGGTTAGGGACACGGTGCCGCTCATGAGATAAGGGAGGGAGAGGGGGCTTGTCACACACCAAGTGAGAGATGGTAGTAAAAATCATAAAATAATATATAGAACTGCAACTCATCATAAACGAAAACAGGTTAGAATACCGGGAACAAAATGGGTCAAGAGAGGAATCATGGTAGGCAAAAAATATAAGTCGATTTAGAAATTAAACAAATTAACGAATTTAATCGTATTAAACGCAAAATCAGGGCAAAGGGCATTGATGAATAACCAGTGAGGAAGCATTATCAAAGGGTCTTATCGGGTTGTGTGGTCTGCATGCTCAAAAGCCGGCTCGGAGGCATATGAAGGGGGGGAGGGGGTCACGATACACTTACCGCACTCGGTCTCTAATTCGTCAACCCATTTTACCAGAGTGGACTTGGGCGTCAGGTCTCTGGGTTTCTTGGGAGTCCTGTCTTTGTAAGCCGTAGCGTTTTTCATGTCATCGCACTCTTTCCGCACCTTATCGTACTGTTCTTGTAAGCTATCGACTTTCTTTTTCAGATCCCCGATTGCATTATCTTTGTCTTTCACTTCGTCCATGAGCTTCTTGCTAGCGACGCCTCCAGCCTCCCCGGCCTTACCCTCGAGCTCGCCTCCGGTCACTGCGGCGTTCACTTGGGCGTCCTTTAGCTTGGTGTTCGCCTCCTTCAGCTTCTTCTCCAGACGCCGCACCTTGTCCTCCATCACCTGTGGGAGCGGGGTCGTCATATTGGAAAGAAGCTGGATAGCTTTTAAAGGCATAGTAGGTATAGTGATTAAGAAAACAACGAGATTTCTCAAGTACGATATGGATGACGGTCACTTTCGATTTCACTGTCTGATGAGGAGTCGCGTCCCTCTCGAAACGTCATATTTTATTTTTGTTTTATTTTCCATTTTAATGTAAATCGTCTTTGTGTACTTTATCCCAGTAATGACAATGATGTTGACAACACTAATAGCAGCAATAACAAAAGGCGACCAAGACTGTTGTCCAAAAGACTCGCCTGTCTCTCGATGTAGCTTGTCTCGCCGCCCGTGAGAGGGAGACGCTTCACGGCCTTCAGCTGCAGTCTCTTGTTTTCGTCACTCAGCTTCTCGTTTTCTGTTTCCGTTTGTTCGACTCTTGTCTTGAGGATTTCCATTTCCTTTTCCAGTTTCTTGAT